TCCAACCTAAAAAGAAGAAACCCCATACTCTTATAACTGCATCTGTGAGTCTACAAACCATGATTTGATGCTCTCAAGAAAGACTTTAGACTCTGACCACCAGGTGAACAGGGAGAAAGAAATCCTGGCTTCATGGTTGGACAAGAAGAAAAGCATCTCCCTTGTTTCAGATGAATATAACTTTTCCATAGGCCAGAAACCAATACTGCTGCTCAGCTATGTGCTGATTTCCAGCTATATGCTGGGAGCGCCACCTCAAACTGAAGTAGGCAGGCATGCAGGTTAAAACTGTTAGATTAGTGAACTGGAAGACCACGCCTTTGCCACGCCCCTGAGTGGCTGCATTCCCCTACCTGGCCACACCTGGGCGCCCACCAGCCAATCAGGGTAATTAACCACTGAAGCGCCTATTCGCAGTTGCTGAGGCTTTCACGTTCTTGCATTTCATCTCAGCTCTCCCCTCCATCATCCCTTATCACTCCCTTTCTGTGAGCTCTTTGCCGGAACCCCCCATGAACTTCTCTCTTCCTTACCCCACCGTTTCCCACACCCTGTCTCTTTGGGGCCTCTGCTGTTACTTATCTACTCACACTCATCCTTAAGTGCTGCTGATGACCTTAATCAGAAGCAAGATATTCACCGGTGAGGAAAGGAAAAAATAAAATTAATCAGATTTTAGCCAAATCATCTTCGGAGCTAAACTGAAAATTGGCTGAGGAGACTCTGAAACATGCAGGAAGAATTAGATTTAAGCTTGAATGTGTGTCTATAAAAGATAAATATGAATAGATACTAATACCTGGCTAAGATTTAGCTAAGTGGGAAAGAATTAATTTGAAGAAGGCCAAGAAATATCAGACCTGGAGAGCATAGTTTCTCTTTCATAAATTAGTGAGTGGCAATAATTTAGGCGATAAATGAATAATTGTAGAACAAGATTAACTAGGTGTTTTAAGGTTGTTGAAGATCTTAAATTGTACCAATTTAGAAGATAGTGAGTTCAGTATGTTTTTAATATAACAATTAGCTCTAAGTAAAAGAAGAGAACGTAAGTGTTCCTGTTTGTAATAGGCAGCTTGCTGCTATATGAGATCATTTCTAGCATTTGCTAAGTTGGGGTTAGAACCCCAGAATATCTGGGTGGCAGGCTTTGTCTTTTGGTTTCTTTAAAACAAAAGCTTGTTTGAAAATAAAAGCCAATCTCACAGAATAAGAATCATGGAACATTAGAGCTGGAGGGAACATTTCATTTTACAGTTGAAAAGTCAGTTTCTTCATCTGTAAAATAAGGGGTTGGAAGGGATACGATCGACTCTCTTCTACCTTCCTGAATCTATAAAAGCTGGAGAGGTTAAGTGGTCACCCGAAGTTGCACAGCTGGTCCGTGCCAGGCTTGGAAAGGTCCTTGGCTTCTGGGATTCTCTCTGTAGAGTGAGCCAGTTTTATACTTTAAACAGTTCAGTCAGCCCAGTTATTTGACACAAGGCAGAAAAATAACAATCTTTCTGAGTTGGATTTATTTTTTCCATTTCCATCAGTTTTTCTGTGTCATGTAAACATAACTTCAGGGATATCACTAGCCACAGAAGGGGCCAAACTTGAACACAAGTCAATTGTGCTTGGAGCTGGCTGCATCACTCAACCGAATGCAATAAATATCCTTCAGCAACCAACTCAGCTTTCAGCCCTGGGGCCAGGGAACAATGGACGTGCTGCTTTGCAACATGCAGATGTGTGCAGAGGTGACCTGAAATGGGACCTGACCCTACAAGGCAGAGTGTGCATAGATGGCAGAAGATCACAGCCCTGACCAGCTGGAAATCACGGGCAGGCTGAAAATACTTTTTCTTAAATCCATGCTTCTGGTGGCTGCCAAGAGCCTTCTGCATTTCTCTGGAGCTATGAGAGAGCAGTGCGTTGTGTACTGACTTATGGCTTAGCTATGTGGAGGAATTATTTCAAGTGGTTTTAAAGCAGCAATTTTTAAATGCGCATTCCTAGTGAGATATATCCAAAGTTTAAAAATAATCATAGTGAAATCTTAATCAGCTTTCAGTTATCATATTTTAGTATTCAATATCATTTATTATACTTTTGAGAATATATGTTTGAACAAGAAATTATATTAATGTCATACCAAGAAGAAAATTTTGTGGAAGAAAAATGAAAATGCAAATTAAAATTCAAGTCAGTTGAGTAAAATTCTTATAATCCTAAAGCTGAACTTAAAATGCTAATATGAATTTATGATTTAACTTCTCCTTTAAAAATAAGATAAGGTTAGAAACAATGAGTAGTCCAGTAGCAATGAACATCATTAGTGCCAGGTTATGGCTTCTAAATCAATTTCCCTCCTAGAAAGAAACAAGCCTGCTTAAATAAGTGGCTAATGACAAGTAAGGTGCAGAAACATACAAGATAAAGTTGGAACATCCAGTCCTACCACAAAGCAAAATCCTACCTAAGACCACTGGAGTTATGATAAAAAGATACAGGGGTTAATTTGAAGAGGTCCCCATGTCACAAATGGAATATTTTGATCATCAAAAAGACTAATGATAACAATGGATTGAAACCTATCAACTAAATTAAAACTCATGTTTTCATAATGATACTTTTTCTAAAAACTCATTTCCTTGGTCACACGTGGAGTATACTAGGAAACAAACAGAATATTTTGAAAATTCGTACATAGAGGTCGGTGTTGTGGCACAGCAGGTAAAGCCACTGCCTGCAATGTTGGCATCCTATATGGGTGATGGTTTGAGCCCTGGCTGCTCCACTTCCAATCTAGCTCCCTGCTAATGGCTGGGAAAAGCTGCAGAAGATGGCCTGAGTGCTTGGGCCCCTGATCAAATGGTAGACATGGATGAATATCTTGGCTCCCGGCTTTAGTCTGGCTCACTCCTGGCTAATCCAGCCATCTGGAGGTTGAACCAGGGCATGGGAGATCTATCTCTTTCTCTCCCTCCTTCTCTGTAACTCTGACTTTCAAACAAATAAATCTTCTTTACAAAAAGAAAATTAGTAAACATAGGGAAAGAATTGACCACTTGTCCTGGTTTCTGCCTGTTTCTTTAATCATACCATGGAATATTCAATACTTGAACTAAAAAAAGTTAATTCTTTTTTAAGGTGATTATAGGATAATAAATGCAAAAGTTAGGATAGAATTAGTATATCAGTGGTTTGTAACCTTAATAAATACTGGATTAGGCAATAACCATTAGTGCACAAAACCCATTAAGTAGAATGGGGAATTCAAAAAGTAGAGCTTCCCAAACTTAAGTTTCTTGTGAATTAGCCAAGGATATTGTTAAATTCCAGCAGTTGATTCACTATGGCTGGGCTTGGGCCCGAGCTCTGCGCTTAGAATAAGTTACCATGGGGTGCTCCTATGCGGGTCAGAGGGCCATTCTAAGAAGAGAAAAGCAGCCTTGGCATTTAAAAGTTGCCCTGGTACTGTCATCTGGGCCGAGTTCTAACAGAACATCAGACACTGTCATTCTGTGACCGTGATGGATCAAAAACAAGACTACAACATATGCGTGTCCAAACACAAATAAATCAACCACACCGCACAAATGACCCAACGTCCCTCACCCTGGCTATTAGGAGGGACTGCTGCTGCTTCACCAATTGTAGCTTTCGTATCAGTCTAGTCTTTCCTGCTTCTACATAAGATTTAACTAAAATGCCTAAACATGAAGCCACTTTCGCTTACTGAAAGCATTTAATTCTGAGCAAATCCCTGATGCTTTGGACCCTCCCTAAATCACCAAACATCAATCTGAGTCCTAAAATAAGTCCTTTGAACACCTGTGAGAGCGCCCATGTAACACCTCTGAGACCGCCAGTGTTTCCCCATGGTGAATATTGCCTCTGATGGTAACATGTAATAAATCCTCCTTGTTCAACTGCAGCTATGTTCTGGTTGTCTTTGCTGGAGTAGCAGTTCAATAATATGATGGATCAGACTGACAGCTGAGTGACCAATCACTATTTGCCTCCTGTGTGCAATGGAATTCTCACAGCATCACCTTTTACATAATACTGCCAAAAAAGTTGAACCTGAATCTGATCAAGCCTCTAGATGTAACAAACAGTTCACAAGAACTATGAGACATAGAGAAACATTTTAATAAACCATTTTCAATTCAAAATCCAACCATGCTACTTATTTTTTTGAAATAAATACATGGCAAGAAAAACAGAAAACGAAGAGGAAAATTTTAGGTTAAATGAAACTCACCAGTCCTATCAATGAATTGTAACATTAGCCCTTGTTTAGGTTCTGATTTGTACATACTACATAAAGTCATAATGATAGTAAGAATACGATAATCGAGACTATTTGAAGAGTGACTAGATGTTAGATATTGTTAAATAATTGTTGTCTATAATTTTAATATTTATAATGGCAATTGTCATATTTCAAAATACTTACAAGTAAAATATGATGTTTAGGATTTGCTTTAACATAATCCAGTCATGATGAGAGGGATTGTGTGGGTGTGCGGGGGAGGGGGGTAGAGATACAAAGATTAGCCAAATTTCATAATTACCAGAGTTTATATGGTGATCTGTGCTTCTGTTCTCCCTATTTTCAATATGCTCGAAAAGTTCATAGTAAACAATTTTTGAAGGTAATTTAAAGCATATAATTCAAAGACCAGATTTGAAAGAAGAAACACTATATGTTGAACAGAGGAATAATTAAGGACTACCACTCAAAATGTTCTTGAGAAAATAAACTATAATGATATTACAGAATCTGTATTATTACTAAATTTGCTTTCTGATCACTTCCTTGAGAACTATCAGTGTTCACCAGTTTCTTTTCCTTTTCCTTTTTTTTTTTTTTTTTTTTTGGTGTCAACTACAAATGAAGAGGAGTAAAGATTTATTATTATGGAGACTCAGGGGACGGTCTCTGCAGAAACATTCAATTTAAATGCTTGATTCTTAAAGAGAAGGAAGCGTATTATTTGAGCAATTACCTGGATCAGTAGCGGACATCAATGAACCAAAAAATAAACAGTCAGTGAAATGAAAGTCTCCATTTTTCAATTGGCCGGCATATATCATGGCTTTCACAAAGCCATACACGATTAACCTGTTGAAGAGAAAAATAAAATCTTCAGACATCAAGATGAATCCTGAGTAAACGCACGCCATCACAGCAAACATTCTAACGTGCCTCTGAGTAAGTGGCATATACAAATTACTGCCAACTTGACAACTCATGGCCAGGCTACCCCTGAGTGCACGATAATCACTGGGTTACGATAGACACTCTCACCAAATGCCACGATTCATTCACCTGGAAGAAGGTCACAGAACATCATATGGTGTGTTTCAATGAAGACAAAATAAATCTCAAGGAGATAAAAAATAATCTGTCAAATATGGCCCAGCAAATCATGCCCATACATACTGCCACCGGGCTGACATCTCTAAATGAATTGTTTTGCCATTTTCTGCATTTTGTCTGCTGGGGGTGTCTGAAAAGACTTCAAATTTCAAGCCTGTCACTGCCAAGAGAAGGAGATCGGCCATTCACAGGGCACTCAGTCAATCAATCACGTTACAAGAGATGAGTCTCCTACTCCTGGTGCCAGAACACTTTCACACTGGGAGGAGAATCAGTGCTCGGTTACAGCATGCGAAACATCCACAAACTGTTGGGAATAAACACTGAAATGCCTTTGTTTTGATTCTGCAAGGAAGACTATTATTTTTATGGTGTTTATGAAAGGCCTTATAACCTTCCATACCATAGAATGCAAATAGTCTGGGTTGCTGTTTGCCACTCTATAGTCCTAAAATGATATTGAATGACTTAATTGATTAGTTGATCATTGCCAAAATCCTAGTAGAAGACATTCAGATTGATGGACTGGACCACAATATAATCTAAGGATTGTTAAGAGTCCAAGGAAACTACAGGCAATCACACTAATAGGTGGATATTTAAACACTCACATGCATTTAATGATAGTTTTTTGAATAATGTTCTGAGGTTGTGAACATGGTTAAAAGGTTAATAATTAGAAATTAGAAATTCCACTTTCAACAGCAATGCAGATTTTCAAATTCTGTTGAGAAAATACTTCCATGAAAGAATACTTCATATACAACTGTGTTTAAATCCAGGCTCTGAGGCCGGCGCCGTGGCTCACTAGGTTAATCCTCTGCCTGCGGCGCCGGCATCCCATATGGGTGCCGGGTTCTAGTCCTGGTTGCTCCTCTTCCAGTCCAGCTCTCTGCTGTTGCCCAGCAGGGCAGTGAAGGATGGCCCAGGTGCTTGGGCCCCTGCACCAACATGAGAGACCAGGAAGAAGCACCTGGCTCCTGGCTTCGGATCGGCGCAGCGCCGGCCATGGTGGCCATTTGGAGAGTGAACCAAAGGAAGGAAGACCTTTCTCTCTGTCTCTCTCTCATTATCTATAACTCTACCTGTCAAATAAATTAAATAAATAAATAAATAATCCAGGCTATATGGCTATATGGTTTTAGGGTATTGCTGAAACTTTCTAACTTTCAATATCCTTATTTATATGGTAGAGATAACAATAATTGCCTAAAGATTATTGTAAGGATTAACTGAGCTAATAACATTTTGTGTCACATTGTAAATCTCATCACATAGTAAATTCTCAGCAGGTTCATTATTACTGCTAACAATGATCAAAACAGCAAAAAACATTTGCTTACAATTTCTACTTTTTTCATATGTTTTAACTCATTCAATCAACACATTGATCCTGTATGGCACTATTATTTGAATTTTACAGATGAGAAAACTGATTCCAGGCTCTGGAACCAGTAGAGACTTTATGATCTATGGCTACTTTTCTGAATTCTATAACCATGAGTTAGTTTTACAAGCTAGGAATGCACAGCCCAGAATTAAAATGATTTGCTCCATATTGTGTAGAAACTATTAAAATAGATAAGGCTTGGCAAGATGCAAGGAAACTCAAAAGCTTTTATATCATGGTTGGTTGTAAATGAACTTAAAGTTCTATGGGAGCCAATTTGACAATTTATTTTAAAATTATTAATTTTGAAAGTATTCTATAGCTTAGTAAATGGTTTACTACTAACTTATACCTTAATCAAATATGTACCAAAAGATGTGTATTCAGGTTATTTCACATTACTAGTAGTTATAATGGTGAAAATTTCAAGACAAACTACACTTCCAAAGAATAAATTAGAAAACATACATATGATGGACTAATATACAACTATTAAAGCTATATACAAGAATATATATTGGACCAAGACAAGTAAAGTGATAAAACAAATTATAAAGTGATACATAAAAATAATTTATACTGTGCACAAAAAAGTAAGCTATTAAAACAAATTAATAGCTAATAATCTATATAAATATAAATACTCATATAAACAGAAGAAACTAGAAGCAAATAGTCCATTGTTAATAATGGTTATATAACAGAATTAAATGTAAGCCTCTTAATTTTTGCTCTTCTGCATTTTCCCAGTTCTTTTAAAATGATAACCATAATAAAAGCAAATACGAATGTCATTTAATCCCCAGAATTCTATGAGTGAGGAACTATAACTATTCCTCGTTACAAGTGAGTAAACAATGACTCAGGTTAAGTAACTGCCCTAAGCTCACAACGTTAGCTTTTGACAGAGTTGGGCTTGAATTCAGGCAGACACCAAAGTCTACACACACAAGCACCAACTCTAATGCTTTTGGATTGCTTCTGAAATCAGGAGGAAAAAGTATACGTGGGTGGACACACACAATTTTCTTTCATAAAAAATGTAAATGACTTAATTACTCCAAATAAAAAAAACAAAAAGCAAAGAAACAACAACAACAAAAAAGGCCACCATGCTGTACAAGCTAATCATGGTCATTGTCATTATTACTGGTATAACAATGATCATGATCACTGCTAATTATAACAGCCCACACACACTGTGCATCTTCTATGTACCAGACACTCTAGTAAATGGCAGCTATTGCTGTTGCTGCTACATTATTATTAACAAAAACCTATTAATTATAAAAGCATTGAGAGACCAAAAAATAAGCCATAAGCAGCCACCACATCCTCACAGAGGGGTACACTCTCTCACCACTTCACAGATAGCATTAAGAAGATCGGGGGGCAGGCATTGTGGCGCAGAAGGCTAAAGCCTCAGATGCTCCACTTCTGATCCTGCTCTCTGCTATGGCCTGGGAAGGCAGTAGAAGATGGCCCAGGTCCTTGGGCCCCTGTACCTACATGGGAGACCTGGAAGAAACTCCTGCCTCCTGGCTTTGGATCAGCTCAGCTTCAGCTGTTACAGCCATCTGGGGAGTGAAGCAGCAGATGGAAGACCTCTCTCTCTCTCTCTCTCTCTCTCTCTCTCTGCCTCTCCTCTCTCTGTGTAACTCTGACTTTCAAATAAATAAATATATCTTCTTTTAAAAAAGCTCAGATATGGTTTGATGGGGAGAGGGACCCTGGTGAAGTCTAGCTTGTACAGTGCTTAGAGAATGGCAAAACCGAGTTAGATGTCACACAGAAGTCAGTCTGAAGCGAGTGACAGCTTGGGTCCCAGGGGTGAGCAGAAGTAGAAACTGCCTAATAAAAAGCAAACTCTTGGATAACACTGATTTCAATAAATGTCTATTACTGCTATTACTGGTGTTACGGAAGATATAAAGATGGAGAGCCATGAGTAGGTTTCAAAGAGAACATCACAGGATGACAGTCACATAACTTATTCCAATACAAGCATTCTTCACAGTGTTTGTTCATGGAAAATGCATATTATAAAAAAGTTATGCATGGATTTCAAAACCTTTTTGCACCAAAATAAACTTATCTTAATTACATTTTTCCAGGAACTTTTTTTTTTTTTTTTTTTTGGACAGGCAGATTTAGACAGTGAGACAGAGAGAGACAGAGAGAAAGGTCTTCCTTTTTCCATTGGTTCACCCCCCAAATGGCTGCTATGGCTGGTGCACTGTGCCGAACCAAAGCCAGGAGCCAGGTGCTTCTCCTGGTCTCCCATGTGGGTGCAGGGCTCAAGGATCTGGGCCATCCTCTACTGCCTTCCCGGGCCATAGCAGAGAGCTGGACTGGAAGAGGAGCAACTGGGACAGAATCCAGCGCCTCAGCTGGGACTAGAACCTAGAGTGCCAGCGCTACAGGCGGAAGATTAGCGAAGTGAGCTGCGGCACCGGCCTCCAGGAACATTTTGTAGTAGGCCTTGGAGAACAGGGCATTGGGAGAAATGCTCCAACTCAATGCTCAGCTTCCCCGGGGGTTTACAGAGCACATACTTATTCTAAATGCTGTGACCATGTTTCACATTATTAACACTCCACCTCTGAAGCCATGTTGTGAATATATTTCAAAGCAAAAAAGTTCCAGAAGGCTCAACTGCTTGGATGATCCCCTTCTCCCCTCTTCCTCTTTTTCTGGAAATAGGTTTCACCAAGTTATGAAGAGATCCGTGGAAAAGGATAATCAAGCAGAGCTGCTGTCCCTTTGAACACAACACTGCATGGACCAGCCCGAGTAGGTGTTAGAAAAGCCACGGCCTGCTTGTGAAAGCATCTGAAACAGGCCTCCATGCAGAGCTTGCTCCGTGGTGAGGAAACCCAGGATACACGGGAATTTAGAATATGAAACTAATGATCTGTATGTAGCTCTCGGAATTCTATACCTAAATGTTTTCCTACACATATGTTCAAATCATTCCCTATTTACATCTTCACTCTTTAAGAATAGCTTCAACCTCACATCTTTTTTCTGGAGCATGCGTTCAAGAGCAATACCTTACTGGAGAAAGAAATTCTTACTGCTCGGTTAGGTGAGACTGTGAAGGTCTCCTAGTCAAATTCACTCATTTTCATTTACTCATGCACTCATAAATTTGCACATTAACTCATTCATTCAACAGGTAACTACATAAAACATGTAAGGAGCTTTTCTTTAAATTGCTGTCTTGCATTTAAGAGGTCATTTATAATTTATTATTCTGTCCACATTGCAGTTAATTGCTAAGGAGAAAAGTACAGCATGTACACATGTATACTTCTACCAGCTAGGGGACATCAGAAGGGAACTTTATTTT